GAGTAACAAATCATCTGTTATGATTTACATGTAGATATCCTCTCAAAACCTATGCGCTCATAGTGGCTCTTTTGGGAGGTAACTGGATCATGAGGGTGTGATATTCATCAGTAAATTAATCCATTGATGGGTTTATAGCTAAATGTGATGTTGGGAGCTTAAGCCTGGTGGAAGGAGGTGGGTCACTGGAGGTGAGATCATCATGGCATGAAGTCTTTCTCCTCCAGAATAACCCTCTGCTATGCTGCCCTGCCTTGGAGCCAGCCAACTATGGACTTAAACCTCTACAAGCATTGAACTAAAATAAACCTTTCCTCTTTACAGTTGTGGATATCAGGTATTGTGTCTCAGCAATGAGAGAGAAACTAAGACATATCCCAAAATATAGTTACTTAAGACAAGAAACATTTACTATATCATGGTTTATCTGGGTCAGGAATTTATAAAGAGCTTATTTGGGTGGTTCGGTCTCAGGGTCTCTCAGGAGGTTGGAGTAAAAATGTTGCCCTGGACTTGACTGTAGAAGAGAATCTGCTTCCAGAATGGCACACTTTCAAGGTGCTGGAAATGGGCAGGGAGCCCAAATTTTTTCACCTATGGGCCCCTCCACTACCTGAACACCCTCCTGATAAGGCTCTTGGCTTCTCTCAGAATGACGGATCAAAGACATCAAGGTAGGAGCCATAATGTCACTTATGACCTAGCCTCAGAAATCATACTGTCATTTCCACAGTATTCTGTTGGTTACATAGGTAAGACTTATTTGGTATAGAAGTATACTACATGGGAGTGTGGATGCTAGCAATTGAAAGTCATTGGAGTCTCTTTAAATATTATCTTAATATCTGAACAAAAATTACTAGGAACTACTATGAGTATTGGGACATTTTCCAAATAATGAGAAATTTAGATTAAATGACTACTTAAGTTTCCAACTAGGTCTAAAATTATGACAGACTATCCCCAAATTCTAGATGTAGGCCTTGTTTCCTCATATCCCCAAATACAATAAATGAATTCAATGGCTTAATTTCATTCCAGTCCAGTAGAAGTATTTGCTAACTTGGCTTCTGCTTTATACTTTCAAGCAGAGCCAGTAGAGTTTGAGAAGTTCTTCCAGTCTGAAACAGTTATTTCTGTACCAGTAAAACAAATCTATGTGTGATTTCAGGCCTAATTATATAGTTTGATGCCAGCATAAGCCCAGCCTCTGGATAAAGGCTTATCTTCTCTATCACAATATGCATGATTTTACTGGGGCAATCAAACACTTTGTACAAAACAGCAAAGATAGTAAAATCATTGGTTTTAGTCCTTAGGCCATGTTTATTTTCAAACCAAATTTTACTTGCTTAAAATACTTCTTTAATATGTTTTGAGGTATACAAAGATTAAAAAACTCAATAATGAGACATTTCACAGATACAATGATGTTGAATATGTGAAATGAAGTTTACTCTAGAAACAAATCCATATTAGCAGAAGTGAAAATGAAATAGGAGCTGCTCAATCTTTCCACCAATGCCAGATCCAAAGAACTACAGAAGCCAGATCAGAACACACCTCTACAGTTCCCAGCAGCCTATCGTTTCATAGAGCTCTACTCCAAGACTCAGCAAATGACAGCCCACAGAATATTTCCCATCTTGATCTAGGAGACAACCTGCTGCCTGTTTTGTAATTAAAGTTGTGTTGGAGCACAGCCATGTTCATTCACTTATGAATTGCTGGTGACTGGAATGGCAGAGTCGAAAAGTTGTAACCATGACTATATGCCTAACAAAGCTGGAAATATTTACTCTCTGGCAATTTATAGAATAAGTTTCCAATTCCTGGTCTATGTCTCTGAAGACTTGACCTGAGACAACCCACTACAGTAAAAGCAAAAGATGTATCTGTGTCATCTGTTGTTCTAAACATTTCTGAGTGGAAAGGGGGAAGGGGTTTTGCTATTTATGTTGCAGCACTGCATACAGTGAAGGTATAAATCTTTTTGTTTTCCTATGCTGTGAACTAAACCCAGGTTTCATGCATGCCAGGCAAGCACTCCACCAAAAGGTGTACCTCTCGGCCCACGGCAAAAGTCTTAACAGGTATCGCCTGTGTAACCAACTCCTAGCTCAAGACAGAACTCAGAAGATAGTCTTCTATAGGATTTCAAACAAAGGTATGGATTTGAGGGAAAATAACAACATTATAGATTTGTCTATTTTCTACTCAAGTCTCTACTTGTAGAAGCAGACTTAGTGGCATAAATCAGAAAATTATAATGGGAACTGAATGAAATTCTCATAAATCACACTACTAAGTATAGTTACACCATAGATGTGGAACCCAATTAAACAGATGGCCACATGCTGTCAGAATCAGCCCCTAATCAATAAAGATGTTCATTTTAGAAAATCACCTCAATTTTTCACTTCTTCAGTGAAGCAAAAAGAAGGCAGTAAGGAGGAGCTACGGGGGCAGGGGGAGTCTCAGGAAACCTAGTGAGGAAATGTGTAAGAAGAAACTCCACCTGTCTTAATTTGTAGTCCAGAATATTAGAAAGGAAAGAGCGGGGAAAGACACCCAAAGGATTACTTGTCATCCTGCCTGGAAATATAATTTGCAACAAGAGCAAACACTGGTCATTAGGAAAATAGAAGCAGCTTAAATCTCTTAATTAAAATACTCTTTCAAATTGTTCATTTCCAAGCCCCTCTGCCCATGAGCTTTCAAGAACCTGTTAGGTTACCCTGAAATGGCTTCTTTCTGAGTAAACCTCTGAGAGGATCAGTTCTTACCAGACCAGAAAAAGGCATATCAGGGGTATACCCTGAAGACTGAACTATTATTAGACACACTAAAGTCCCTAAAGGAGCAGGGAACCTTCAGTGACATTTGAAAATAAGTGTGGAAATACTGAAGAGATGATTTCGTTGTCTTTGCTTCCTTAAGAGTTGATCTGTTGCACTGATTAAGTCTAACAATGCCAAGAACTAAAAAGAATGAGAAACAACAGAAATACTTCTGCAGTTTGGCATGCCACTTTGAAGAACACTTGTTGTTTTCTGGTAAAGTTGAGTATTTGCATACCTTACCAGCCAGTAATTGCACTTCTGGGTATATAACTGTATCTTCTTTCAGGAGACATACAAAAGAGCATTCAGACCAGTGATGTTCACAAGAATAAAATGCTGGGAGGGTGGAGGATACATAGATCTACCAATAGCAGAGCATATAATAATCTAGGGGTACAGCTACATGATGAAATACTATACAACAATGAAAAACCTACTGCTACATGTTTTGTGCATGAATCTAAAAAATAAATTATTAATTGAAAAACACAGTTGCTTAAGATTGTATATAGTATGATATTGTTTTTATCATGCTAAAAACTAACAATAAAAACTATGTGATTTGGGGATCCCTACATAAATTGTTAAAATTATATTTTTTTCAAAAAAGGAAAAGATAAACACAAAAATCAGTATAGTCATCACATGTATGGTGAGACAGAGAACGGGGTAGGGAGGGAGTTGGGTAGCTGCACTGGTAGGGGTGATGTTCTAATTCTTCACAGAGTGATAGCTTTGTAGGCACACAGTGATTCTATGTTTTCTTATGTACTTTATAACTTAACATGTACCGGGATGTTATACATATTCTTTTGCATGTACCAAGTTTTACACAAGAAAACAATCTTTCTTCCAAAATGAGTAAGCAACTTCCATTTCCCAAAAGAACATTTTAAATACTAGTATAATTACTATATCTAAATAATATTATAAACTTTAGTTATAATTAGCAACTCAAATATCATTAAATTTCCATATAACGTATGCAGCTTAGTTCCCAAATTGGAGCTTAGGACCTTAAGAAAGCAGCAGTATTTTCATGATAATGAATATTTATATTGTAAGGAAACATTCTCAAAATATTTTACAACTTATTTGGATATATAAATTAATGTAGAAATAAAAAATTAGTGCCATCTGCTTGTTTTCCCTCTGTTCATTATTAGTACATCCCACAGTCCTGCTAAGACTCACAGGGGCCACAGGAGGGTGACTCTGATGGTGAGCAGCCATGGCCCTCAGGCTGTGTCCTCTGACCAAAGAGTGCTATAGGGCGAGGAACAGCTCAGAAGACCTATGTGGGGCGGGGAGGGGGCCCTCTCTGTGCAGAAGGCCGGCCAAATGCCTCACGGAGAAAGAATCTTTTGAACAAAGGGAATGTGAACTATGATCACTTGGCCAGTTTTTTAAATGAAAGAGAACCCTAAATACAAATGCCCTAAGGGAACAGTATCATAAGCACTCTAAGAACATGAAGGAGACCAATGGGACTGGAAGTGAGGGAGAGATGGAAACACAGGAGGAGATAAATGCAGAATGATAACAGGCCCCTAGGGTCAAGGCCAGCGATGGCAACTTTTTAGAGTTTTTAGTGATTAAAAAAAAACAGCTAGATGTGGCATGTGTATGATAGGTTCACCACCACTGCTCTAAGCCATTGGAAGCATTTGCTTCTTGGGCTGAATAAGATGAGATGCTGGCAAAAGACTCCGGACAAAGGAGTAACACGATATTGTAAAATATTTTAAATGATTTCAAGGGGTGACCACAGATAAAAGGAGGCCAGTGTGAAAGCTATTTCCTTAATCCAGGTGGGAGATGATGGTACCCTATACAAGGATAGTAAATTCCATCCCCTGCATTCAACAGTGTAGACGTGTGATTGAAACCATGAGATTAGATGTATCACCAAGAAAGTCAGTAAGGATAGAGAACAGAGGCAAAGAGAAGAGGCACTGGGACTGAGTACTACGTAAACATGTCACTATGAAGAGGTAGCAGAAATGAGGAGAAGCCAGCAAGAATAGTCTTTCATCAACACACCTAGTCACTTTTGGGACAAAAATAAAGATTGTCCCGTCTTTCATCATAGACATCAAGAAATTCCTTCCAGTTGATACCAGGCTAACAAAAAACACAAAGCCAGTCAGTACTCACGGATCTGGTTGGTAGATGCGCTATAGAAGGCATTGACAGTTGTTGGGTTTGTAAACCACCTGTGGGAAGAGAAACAAGTGCCAGAGTCATGATCATTATGTAGGCCAGATGGTGGTAAAGACAAACATGATATGGCTGGTCTTACTAGCAGATAACCATAGAACAATGCGGATGCTGGGAACAGAGAGAAATTAGTATCTCAGTTAGGGCCACTGCTCTGCCCAATAAGCAATCTCACCCTAAATTGAACATAATTTAGTGATAATATATTAACATATCTGGTTATTCTGGTTACTCACTGTCAGTAACTTAACAGAAAAAGTCAGCACCAGTGTTTCCAAAAAAGTTTTAATAAGAAATTCTAGAATCTAAAGGGTTCTTCCTGTAGATGGAAATAGCAACAAGCTGATGTTTGCCAGATCCTGTTCAATAGGTCCTAGGGACATATACCTTTCTATGTTACATCACCTCTGATCTGTCTGTCTTTGTCACTTTCTCATCACTAGGACACAATATGCAACACATACAACTTAAAGGAAGACACGGTGATTTGGGCTCACAGTTTCAGTCCATCGTCTGCTGGGTCCAAAGCAAGGCAGCATGTCACAGCAACACAGAAGAAGAGAAGCTGCTTGTTGTGGCAACCAGGAAGCAGTGACTCAAGGGGTGGCTCTTCCACCCAGGCCTCATCTCCTGACTGCAAACCAGCTGTACTACTCCCATGATCCAATCACCTTCCACAAGCCCTACTTCTAAGCACATGAGGCTCTGGGGGCACATCCAGATATAAACCATAACACTGCTTATGGAAGAGTTTGAGATTGGTGACAACACACAGATCCATTTAAAGAGAAATGAATAAAGTATCATCAGGCTAACCAGAGGGTCTACTTGCTCCAGTGAAAAGTTTACTGTTTTAAGTGGCAAAAGGTTTAACAATAGTCCTATCCCTATCACTGATGACTTGAGTTGTGTTGAAACAGTCACCGACTTTCCTGGGGTGTGGTTTTATACATAAAGTTAGAGTACTGGATTAGGAGATCTTGGGAGTCACTTACAGATACAAACAGTCTATACCTTCATTTTAAACATGTATTAGTTCACTTCAAACAGAACTGGAAATTTTTTCTATGTAAAACTCATATTGCAAACAATTTAAGATTTGTGGGCAAAGAGGTAAAACCAAAGGAATCATATAGATATTTAAGAATAATAATTTTCCACAAATTTTTACAGTTTTTATAATACAGGAATATTAATGAGAAGAGTAGAATTCTTTGGGTTACGATAATGTTTTGCTTAACTGTAGTTCAAAGTTATCATTTTTCATCATCAATCAATTTCAAACACTTATCTATAGAAATGACCTCTGGTGCATGGGCTGAATGAAAATAAAAGCTAGTAAGACTCAGCCCATAAACTGAATCTTTCCAACCCTTGGTTTAGATCTTTGTAAGTTTCAGTTAATACCCTTTATGATTGAAACCAAGCAATTCATCATAAACTAAACTGCTCAAAAGTAAACTTGTACAGGTTTGGATTGTAGTTCAGTGTTACAAGGTCTGTTTAACATGCCTAAGGCCCCGGGTTCAATCATCAGCACCACAAAAAGAAAAATTTTTTAAAACCTAGTGTAAATACAATTTACAGAACAACCATTTTAGTCTAAGGAAGTAACTACTCTGTGTTAGACTAATAAAATAATTTACAATGAGCTAATATGAAACTGACAGAAAACCCAACTACCACTGCTAGTAGATCCACCCATGGCTTCTTCTAACCTCTAAAATGTTTATAAATACATTACACTTTTATTATCATCATTATTATTAGCTAACGTCCACTGATAAGGTTAGTGTCTAGATGTCCTTCCAAGCCTCATAGGGTCATAGGTGGGGATTTTTCAGAAGTGACTGAATCTAGAATGTATGGAGCTGGGATTGATTCATGGTGCAATGCTAGTATCAAGGGCACTAGGATTAAGAATGTGAGTGGTACCTGCCCTAAATAGCCTGGATAAAATATAGGGGATAGAAAGAGCTGTGGTCATCTCTTGTTGCTTTGTTATCTTCTATCCACCATGAACTGTTTTTTCCTCTGTGACAACCATCTGCCACAGCACCCTGGCTTAGAACCAGCTAATCATGAAGTGAAATCTTTATAAACTGTGAGATAAATAAACCTTTCCTCCTTTAACCTGTAGGTCTTGAGAGTGTTGTCTGAACAACAAGAAAATTAACTAAGACATCTACTAAGAACTTTGTCTATCCTAAGCACTTTATTCACAGATATTTTACCCATAGCAACTATAGGAATTATTATCTCATTTCACAGATGAGGGCAACAAGACGTATATATCATTATACACTTGTACAAAGTCTGGGCTTTCTGACTTCAATGCAGTTATCTTGTTAATTATATTAAAGACATTCCCAGAAATCCAGAAAGAGAATACCTTGTCAAAACTGAAACCTAGATTTATTTGTATAGAATGCATATTTCTCCTACATCTTTAAGGCAAGTATTTTGATAAAACCTCAGGTTTTTTTTTTTAATACAAACTCATTGGCTGGCCTACTTTCTCAAGAAACCAGGCAGAAAAGAAAGCAACTTGATTGAGCCAAACTTGCTACCTGTAGTAAATAAAATCACAGTCATATCCTAATCCCTAAGATTTTGTGAATACGTTCCATTACATAGTAAGTAGAATGTTACAGATTTACTTAAGTAAATTTACAAACCTTAAATTGAGGAGTTTATTTTGGATTATTCAGGTATATTTGATCTAATCACATGAACCCTTAAAGCAGACAACTTTTTTTAACTGCAATCTGAGGGATATAACAGAGGAGGAGGTCAGAAGAGATATTGTAGATGTAAAGTCAGGGAGAGTCCAAATGTGAATAGAATTTGATACACTTTTTCTGGCCTTAAGAGAAAGGTTTCTAAGAGAGCAAAGAGTTTCTCCCAGACAACAGCCAGAAAAATAAAGACCTCAAACTTACAACCACAAGGAACTGGATGCCACCAACATCAATGAGCCTGCAGAAGGGAGTCCTTGTGGAAACACTGGATAAATCCTAGCCAAGTTAACCCACTGAGTTCAGCCATCTAAACCTCAAAGCAGGGAAACCAACTATAAGATAAATATATGTTGTTTTAAATTACAGCAATACTCTAACACAGTCTACCCAAAGAACCCAAGGTTTGTAATTTAAAGTTTGTAAGTCATGTACCTCTGAACTTTGTTACTAAAGAGCATTGAGTTAAACCAAAATATACACAATAGATAGATAATGTGTATTCTGAAACTTGTCCCTTCTTCCCATCCTCCCTAATAGCCTTCCTTTTGGCAAAGAATAAACTTTCAAAATATTAGTAACATGCAGCAAACTAACTACTGATTGACAAAGGCGATAAATACAAAGTAATCAAACAATCAGTCCCTGAAATGAAGCATTGATAGGACTTTTCAAACTTCAGCAAGGAAGAATAAAACATTTTCCCTCAGATACAGAATGTTACCATTCCTGAATCCCCAGCTCTCCTAATGACTCAAGGGTACATTTGGAGCCTTGATTACCCTCTGAGCTCATATTAAACAGCTTCACCAGCAGATCCTACCAGGAGTTGATACTATTATCTCTTCTGTTTGTTCAGTGCCCATGCCAAAGCAGCTGTTCAACATTCTGTACAATTCCTTTATTTTATCCCAGTTCGCTCTATGTTCAATTTTACTATTCTCTAAAATAAACCTACCTGTGCTAGTATAAGTATCTGCAATTTTTTTACATTCGTTCCATTAAGAGATGGAGTCTACATTTCTCTTTTCTTGATTTTGGTCAAGTCTTAGCAACACACTTCTAAAGAATAAAATGTAGTGGAAATCACAATCTGTGACTTCCAAGGATAGGCAATTAAGGGTACTACAACCTTCCCCTGATGCATACAAGCATACTCTCCCCTTTCTTTCATCCCTCTCACTCAGGAAGCTTGCTCTTCAGAGTTTATCAAAGCCAAAGATACACACAGAGGTCACAGGTAGGGGCTCCAGCTACCAGCCAGAGTCAGCCACTAGGCATGTGAAAAAGGCAGCCTTCCATATGACTTCAACTCAAGACACCATCCAACTGAAACTACATGAAAGGTCATGAGCAAGAACCACACAAATGAGTACAGTGACCTCAAGAATCATGAAAGAGATTAAAAATAAATAAGTATTGAAGCTTTCACCCTTTAAGTTTTGAGGTGCTATGTCATGCAGCAATAGATAACTGGAACACTGATTCTTTGGCTGGATTCTTTGGCTATCCACAGACTAAGTCCTGTCTAATAGGTTGAATTTTCCCAGAAAACTGTTTCCTTTGCCTGACATAATGGTATAAGAAAGCTCTGAGTTGGAATTTGTTTAAGGAGAATGTGCAGTCACTCATTCTCCAAGGTTACCACCACTCCTTATTGTTTATGTTTGTCTAGATCAGCCATGTGTTAACTGACAGAGCATTGAAGGTGCCTGAGTTTGTTCAACTTATCTCCCAATAAGATCTTGAATTCCTTATGAGCTGAGACTATCATCACAGTGGTAGGTTCTGAGCAAAAGATCAACTCTATGAAAATGAATTTATTTTTATGTATATGTCTAATTTACTAAATAAAAAGTGTCATTCCAGGACTTTAAATTCTTCTTACTATATGTGACTATCCAGCTTAAGTGTTTACTTGCCAGGACTGAGCGACTCCTGGAAAGGTGGCTAGACAATTAGGTGCTATGATAATTAATGGATTGATTCACTGATGTTTGCATCTGATTGGCTGGATATGCTGTGAGGAGGTGGGGTCCGGTTGGTGGAAGTGGGTCACTGAGGTCTTGCCTTTGGAGTGTATGTCTTTTGCTAGTACTGATCCCCTGCTCTGCTTCCAAGCTGTCATAAAATGAGAAGCTTTGCTCTGCCATGGCCTTTGCCTTCAATCCAGTCAAACACAGACTGAAAACATAAGCTAAATTGGATTTTCCCTTCTTTAAGTTCCACCAACATCAAAGCTGACTGATACAGTCTATCTGTGAGATGTACCTGCATCTATGTTTAGAGGAGTTAATGGATAGTATAGGGAGGAGTTTCATATAAATTCCAACTCTCAAAATGGGAATAAAATCATACTGGACAATGAGAAAAATAAATAGAAGGTAATGGCCAGATACAATAATCTGAAGGAAAGAAATTGGTGTTTGATTTATTTTGGGCTATATAAAATAGATACATATCAAGCTAATGTTTTACATCTCACTCATCAATTCTTAAAAATGACCTATAAAATATGAAAAACCCATTGAGTATCTATTACTTCCTTAATAAAATCCTAAAGATTATATAACTCATCTTCCATGCTATAGATAATGTTTTCACAAACAAAAGTTATTGGTAGGACTGTAAGTTGGATAGACATTTGATATATTTTTACATATCTTTCAATACATAGAGAAAGAGAATCTAGACATGTTTGGTCACAGTACAGTGACAGTGAGTTAATAGGGAAGCTGACTTAAAATCATTTCTGTCAAAGAAGAGGATTCTGCAGGAAAGAAATTACTTTTGATTCAAGCCAAGCAGTAAAGTAAATCCTCTATTTTTAAGCAAACCGATGAAGTGACAATTCTGAGAACCAACTCCTAAATATGTACCTTCAGGGATGACCACCCAATTAATTTTATTCTTGCTGACATTTCCCATTGCCTTAGAAACTTCTTAATGCACATTAGTGAAGCTAAAATGGATTCCATGGGAATGAAAGATAAAGGGTATTTATCTCCTAGCCCCACAAAGCAGCAAAATGGTATTTCAGGACTGTGGAAATTTAATGATGATATTCTGTTCAAAGTAAACCAGCATAGAGCAGCTACTCCAGAATCATCCCCACTTGATTAGCTTATAAAATTTCAGACCTAAAAGATGTCAATTAAAGCCTATGTGCATCAGGAAGCTAAAATTCTTTTCAATGCTTGAAAAGAAATAACAGATATTTCCTTTAAAAAAGAAAGAAAGAAAATGGGTGTCTATAACTTTACCATGTAAGAAGGACCTAAATTTTCTTTATTTTTCCTCACACATAGTCTGTGGAAATAAGAATTATAAGCAAACACTGATTTTCATTCTTAGAGAACTATTCCCAAACATGAACCAGTTTAATATCCTTTTGAAAAACATATAGTCTGCTGTCTACATCTGTAGTTTTCATGTCAGAAAGTCAGGAAGAAAAACACATCTGTACTCAACAGGCAGATAGCTTTCCTTGTCATTAGTCCCTAAAAGTACACTACAACAAATATTTATACAGCATTTACACTTTATTAGGTATTACAAATAATCTAGAGATGACATAATTTATATAGGAAGATATGCATTATAACATGCAAATACTACATCATTTTGTACAAGAGATTTTTAGCAGCCTTTGATTTGGGTATCTGCAGGATATTCTGGAACCGACGACCTGCCGATACTGAGAAATGACTGGGCAATGGTTGATTGATAGTGTCACCTTGAGTAAGAGAAGCTCAACTAAACTAGTTCAACAATTTTACACCCTAGGGTATGCAAGACCCACCCTAAGGCAGCTTGTCCCCTGATGGTATAAAGGAAAGATGAAGAAAAAGGAAGGCCCATTTCTGTTTCTTCAGAGGAGCTCCAGTCTTCCCTTAACCTTGGTCATCATCTCCCGGCTTCCAGCACAGACCCTTCAGTTTCCAACATAGATCCTTGAGCCTTCCACATAGACTCTTCAGCTTCTACTCCAGACCCATCAGCTTCCAGATACAAACTCACATGGGACACTGTGGTGAGCTGTAGACCTTCTGTTGGATCCTTTGGATCTCCAGTGGGCAGACAGACTCTACACTCTTACACAATCCGACTATGTGGGCAGCCATTGTAAGCCAATCTTGCAAATTCTTATATATTTGTATACCTTGTACTATATCTGTTTCTCTAAGTAAACACTGACTGATGCAGACCGTATTTGTTTTCCATTGACAGATGAAAAATCTATACAAATCAAACATTTTTCCTAACCCTACAAAGTCGCCAAATATTTTTCCAAGATATAAATAAATATTAGCAACTGTCAAGACCATTAGAATCTGACAGTCCATCATTATGTTAGGATAATGTTAAAGATGACACACTTAGGAGTTTTTTAGTTAGCAACTCAGGCCCTGCTACATACCCAAATGAATAACGATATTTTGAAACTAAATAATTAACCTGGCACCATCTTCAAAAAGAAAGAATTCCTAAGAAGACCATAAAAATTCACAAAAACATGTGAAAGTCTTGAATTTCCTACTTTTTTTTCAAAATGTGAAGTGATCAGAATTAGTTTATGAATGTGTGGGATGACTTACACAGATCTGTGGAAATCCTATTGTATTTAGACTGTCAGATATATGGGAATCATTTGGTAAAGTCATTAGATTTGTGTCATCAAATTTTAGAACCCTAAATGTAAAATATCTAGTAAATTATTTAGGTTAAGAATAAAACAGGATAGGCAGACTAAGAAAATATGATGAGAACCAAAGACAGTGAAGCAGATGGCCTTAGAACATTTTTGTTACTAACAAAGTAGTTCGAAGACTCTCTGCTTTTGCCTTTGTGCTTTTGATTGGAGTTAAAGATACAAGACTGATTCAGCTTTAGGGTTATTCCTTAGAGTCAATAACTTACAAGTAACTTTCTAGATGTGTGCATTGTAAAGTCTAAGGCAGATGGAGAGCTGATTGCAACAATGAAAGCACTCCCAATCTGCACACAGAGCGATTGGCAGAGGGTAGAAACCCTCTAGGTTCTCGAGATGTTCAAGCAGGAGCTCTGCCCTAACCACTGGCTGGACATTAAACTATTTAGACACAGGGTTAATCACCAAGATGTGAGGTTGAAAAATAAAATTAACAATTAATGAACTGAGCGTAGACATCCACAGTCATTTACTGTAGGAGAGACCATTTTGCAGTGTAATACCAAGAAAGTCATTCTTTTTAAAAAGTCTCAGAAAAAATACATGAGAATACAAAGTTGCTACATTATCTAAAATGTCATTTTCAACAAGGAAAAAATATATGGCATGCAAAGAGAAAATATAAAAGAATCCATCTATAGAAACCAACCCTCAATGAGCCCAGATATTGGATTTGGCAAAGATTCAAAAGTGGCCATTATAAACTGGTTCAAAGAATAAAACTATATTGAAATTATTAATGGTAAATATGGTGACAATGACTCAACAAATAATCATGGCCCAGAATCTTTATAAAAAATGAAAGCAAATAGAAATTCTAGAGATAAAAATAGATCAATAGAAAGTACCCAACCTGGAGAAGACAGAGAAAAAGAAAGCATTGAAGAAGTAGGCCATAGCAGCAGTCTGGTACCAAGAAGCCAAAGCACCAGCAGGCAGAAAGAAAAGTAATCAAAACCTGAGATGAGGAATTACCATCCTTTTAGCCACTCATAAAATAAGAATAATGGTATCCACACCTCCCAGATTAACATTAGGGCTAAATGAATTAAATATTATAAAGCATCTCCCTGCATATTGCAAACACATAATTGCTATTTGCAATCTTCATTAGTATCATATCATCATCATCACCACTATTTTGCTAGGATAGGAAATCATGGCTGGCTGACCTTGGGCCCAAAAGTTTGTAAGGAAACTCTTCCCTTAATAGAAAAAGTTGTTACAGGCAAATAGGAACAAACTAAATAATTCATAACTTCTATTCAATGAAAAGAACATAGCTATCAATTCTTTGACATGTATTGCCTCAATAATTTCTTGCTACACAAGTATACAATTTCTTTCACTATTTTAATCATATTTATTTCTAAAGTATTTATTCATTAATATCTTCAAAAGTTTCAACCAAAGTGTGAAAATCTAAATACACATTATATATATATATATATATATATATATATATATATATTTATAACTAGATCTAGAAATAACTTTAATGTTTGCATCCTAGTAAGCCTCATTCCAATATGTGTTGATGCTAGGAATGGGAAACCCATAATTAGACTGAAGATCTAAATCGTATCAGAAATAAGAGTTGGCAAAACATGACACAGATTTTGCTCAGACAAAATAACTGGCAAGCCAGCTACTCTGACTTGAGGGGAATTCAAAGTTTAATCTAAAGAGATTCCATTTCCCACCAACATATTTGTCTGTTTCCCTTTCTTTTTGTTTTAATACTCACTCTGTTTTTGGAACGGCTTTTCTTAGCCAGAAGAAATCAGACTGTGCTAAATACTTGCGGGTTTGCAGGACGTTGCCAAAGTAGTCCGATTCTGAAAATTTGATCTGAATGAAACAAAGCACAACATCATTGTTCTAAGTAAAGACAAGAGATGTCTCTAAAAACAGATGTCAGCCTATGAAGCAGCAACTAGCAGATAAAGTATGGCCTTTAGAGCATCTCTCGGCCATTACTGGTTAACCCACAATCAACACAGCCATGAAATTTAATCTCAATGATTTTGTTTTAATATAAAATCTCAAAAATTAGTATGGTTGTTTATGGACCATGGTTTAAAAGAGAGAGAGAATAACTTTAATGCATTGAATTTACTTTGTAATTGAAAAATCTACCTTAATCTTTACAGAATATATTATTTTAGGTTTTAAATTCCTTGGCTCACGAGTTCTTGATCTTTTCTAAGTGTGTACTTTATTTGTCACAAAAGATTCTCCTAATAACATTCCATTTAGTCAGCTGAAACCTCATTTAGCTTATAGATGACGATTTAGTCAAATGTTAAAATCCAATTTCCTATATAATCAGAATTTGTACATAAATGAAAAAGAAGAAAAGAACTCAGAGACCTATTTTCCACCCAAGGAACAAGGGAGTCTCCAGAATACTTTAATTATTAGCAGTTTATCTATTTACACAAAAAGGCTCTAGTTGCTAAAAATTAATGAAATTACAGGGTCAAATCAGAGATTCTAGCTTGCATGGAAATACAGGAAGCTGATAGCTCACAACACTATTGTTTTTATGATAAGGAAACATAATTAATTATTGAGTTCCTTTTCTTTTTCTTTTCACATTCCATCTATAAAAGTAGCAATAATGAAGCAAAATATTATAATAATACGTGTACTATATTGAAAGCATCAGTACATAATGATCTCAAATGCTTTTGTTCTAAAATATATTGCTGTCACAAAAAATGTGTATCTGTGGCAAATAAGAAAAATGCACATTTGAATAAGTGAGTAATCAAGAGCAATTACATTCATATTAGCTGTAATTTTTTGATCACTTTACACCGGGTCTTTTAAAAGTAAACATTGCAGTATAACAAATGCATGTATTCCATGAAACCCACAGATATTGCTGTACAGATATGAATGTATGCAATTTGACAGTTATAGACTTGACGGGTCCTCTATTTGTTGGCCTATGTCTAGCTTACATTTATTTCTACACTGAGACAGAATGGGTACTCATGCCTGTGGAGATGTTTTTGTTAATGAATCATCTTAACATCTTTCCAGAAGACCAGGCCAAAATATAAAGGAAGGTGTAAAATAACTGAAAGCACATGGAGAATGGTGGCAATTAAAATAACAGTTCCTGGCATCTTTGGTGTCCTTCTTGGCCAACAAATTATAAAGATATGACTTTAAATTGTCCTTTTCTTAAACTGCTTGGCCAAGAGAGAGAGGACTGATAAATAAATCATAGCTTATTCACATAGTGGAAAACAATGGAGTTTAAATGAATGCATGAACATGAAATAATCTCTAAAACAAGGTGAATAAGACAAGCTGTATGCATGAAAGGATTTAAGGTTTTAAGACACGCGGAACAGCACTATATATTGATTATGGATGCATACTTATGCATCCAAGGCACAAATAAATGCATAAGAATGATAGTCTGAATTCAAGATAGTATTTATATCCACGGAAGGAGATCGACATGGTGGGAAGAGATCAGATCAAGGAGGACTACATACTGAATTGAATAGATCTCTTTTATTGATTTAAAATGTGTGTATATTCTGGGCATGGTGGTCTGTCTCCATAGTCCCAGCTACTTGGGAAGCTGATAGTTAAAGATCACTGGAGCCTAGGAGTTTCAGACCAGCCTCAGCAACATAAAAAGAGCCCATCTCTAAAATAATAATCACAATAAAAATGTGTGTGTGTACAAAACTAATTCAATAACACTTTCTGAAAACAAAAGTGTAAGAAATGTCATTTTAAATACTGTTCCAATGTTATGGATGTTTCATAATTTGAAAATCTTACAGTGGATTATATTTTAAGATTAAGGATATCTCTTAGCCTTCAAAAAAAAAAGAGAGAGTGTTTTGCTTTAGACGGCAAACTTCACTATCATCCTAAAGCATTCTTGTATACTGTGGATAAAAGATGTGTCTGATGTTCAACTCTAAGATTCTTTCCAGCTTTTGTTTCCTAGATACTTTTGTTATGAACTTCAGGATATAACTGGAACTGATAGAAAATTCATATGTTCTTGAACTCAGCACACCGTCCCAAAGGAATTCCCTTCAAAAATATTTATTATTTTTATGTAATATCAATATAATCAGTTTTTAATTTTAGAAGGGTTTGATAATTGTGGTATTTTCATGTTTAATCTGAAAAAAATTAAAATCTTACAGTCAGATTGGTCCACAGACATTAAAACCTATCCCAAGACTTCTAAGATGAGAAGAGTCCCAAGTCTAAAAATACCATAAATAACAAAGTTCTACACTCATAAAAATAATCCTGAGGGTAAAACTCAAAAGAAGCAACTTACAATTTGCCGTAGCCTCTATGTTTTAAAGGACAGTTCTTACATTGTATTAATTATTAAGATGAGAAATTTATGTCTTAGACTGTTTTCATTGATTTATTCCATTTATTTAAAGGAAAGGACAAGTTATGAGGGCTAAATATTACTTTTTCCTCTAAGCTGGGTTAAGTGTTTGGAGGTAGAGAGGGGCCAACTATTGCTATTATGAGATGATAAGACTGATAAACAAGAATCCGGGCTAAAGAGGTTATACAACTGGGAAAAGATTCACGGTACCAATGAGTTGGCTCCTACCTCAATGTATTTTGGCCCAGTAAGAAAGAGATCTAACCGAAAGAGTACAAGAAAAGAAGGAGGAGAAGATAAGAACTGGGGACTGGAATAGAAGAAATGAGTACATAAATCATGATATGGCTTCCTTAATGAAGTACTATATAGTTGTTAAAAGAATGGTAACAAAGACTATGGAAGATGGTGACAAAACACTATATTAACTGTAAAGATTAGTATGAAATTATATATAAACATCTATTACAGCTATACAGAAATAGAGAAAAACAAAATACTCTTAGGAAAGTATATATTATTATATTCAAGTAATAATTTTATGGCTGATTTTTCATTCCTTTTCTCAGTTTTCCAAATTCTCTCTTATTTAATAACATGGATAATTTCAAAAGACCTTTATATGATTAAAAAAATACTAGAACCCCAACAACCAATAGAAGAGTTCTGGTTGTTGGAGAGATAGTAACCAAGGTGACTTGCATGAATATTTTAAAGTCACTTGTGATATAAAAAAATAGTAAGAGAAACTCTTCAAAGGGCAATAATTAGCTCAAAAGACTCTTATACTTTCAGTTACTGGAAAAAGTCTACGTTCAATTGATAATGGCTTTCAATCAATTCCGTATCTTGACCTTTCAGTTGAGTGACCTTTGGTGAAGTAATTGGGGCTATCATGTCATTTCATAGGAACAGCTATCCAGATTATAAAATTCACTGGACCTGGATTTCTCTTCTTGGAAATACTATCCTCAATGCTAAGCACCAAATGCCACAGAATAAATGGAAGAATAAAGTTTCACCTTCCCCACAATGGCAAGGCTCATATCATAAAGGCAGCACAAGGAAACCTGCTTACCTTCCTTCTCTGTAGAAAGAATAAGGATGTGTTTACAAGACACGACCTGTGCCAATGGAAGTATAGGTTCTAAATCATTTGTCATTTAATTCAAATCCATTTAAAGATACTCTGAGTATATCCAAATTTCTATAAGAAAGATTTTATGTTAGGCATCCAAAGAATTTTCTGAATGCTTGAGGGAATCCATATTATGCATTTTTTCCTTATTTAAACAAGAGAGAAATATGCAATATTTGTGTGTTTAAATGTCTTTGTTCCTAAGTAATGTTGTATATACACATGTGTGCACGCGCACACACACACACACACACACACACACACACACACACACACAAGCCCACCAATAATGTATACAAATTTCAGGAAAACAAAAATAAAAGAATTTTTTTCAGCAGATGGTGTTACCCTCATATGAGACCCTAGAGGATGTCATATATCACAGAAAATCTACTGCACTGCCAGCCCTGAGAGAAGAAATTGAAATGCATGTGCAGCAATCTCAGTGACTAAGGTTACCCAAACAGAAGTTCACCATACTAATAAATTTCTGGAAGTTGATGGCCGCCACTTCGAGCACCTATTGTAATTGTAGAGGCCAAAGATAACTTGTATGAGTCTCATAATATATCAATGAATTTATTCTCCCTTGTTCTTTTTTTTTTTTTTTTTTTTTGTTCCAGGGATCAAATTCATGACCTTGTACTTACCAGGCAAGCACTTGAGCCACTGAGCTAAATTCCCAGCCTTCAATGAATTTCGTATTAAAATATTTATACAAGATTTTCTTTTCCTGAAATGTGTGTACATTTTCAGGCATACTCTGAATATACAGGAGTGAATCCATATATATGGTATACCAGGAAGAAGAACTTTCTCAAGCAGCTACAAGAAGGTGACTGAGAGACCACCACCCAGCAATGTCCCCACTCCATGCTGGGGAAGAAGGTGGCCTCTGTACTCCAGCCACTGGAAAACTTCAAATGAAGACTAGCATGGGGGAGTAAGATCTGGCTCAAAGGTTGATGGGTACCAGGACACCCTATTTCCAATGCTTGCTCTTGGCTCTTCGATGCTATCTCAAGAGAGGTGAAAGAAATAGTTTTGGGTTTTTTCTTTTAATCAAAGAGTACAGAATGACTTTACTATTTTAACAACTTTCTTTTCTGGAACATTCCACCCAAATGCCAACACACCCTTACATAGTTGAACTTTCCATTACCTCTCTCTCTCTCTCTCTCTCTCTCTCTCTCACCATTCCACTAGCTGACCCATATTTATCCCAGAGAATAAAAATATGGTGATATATATATATATATATGTATCACCAGAAACACTAATAACTTTTAAAAAATTACTTCTTTCCAATCCTAAGTAAATGGGTGCAGCTATGATTGTGACTTTACTCCCTGCTGTAGTTCTTCACTGGCTTTCACACCAATACCTGAGGTACTAACGATGCAGTTATTTACCTACCATCACTGAGCTACATGCCTACCCCTTTGCTGTTAGTAATGCTGGGGTGTGACAGTCTGAAACGTCTTATTGCCTGGGTTCCTTTCTCGGTTGGCATCTGCCTACTGAAGGTGCTGGGGGAAATTAAGCATTACCAAGAGGGGAAAATGTGCTGTGTCGCTGCTCTGTCTACTCCCCATCTCTCCCTAGAAGACATCAGTTCTTCCCCAACAGCCCTGCTTTGGAGTGGCAGTCCCTCCTCTACTCTTCTAGATGACAATACTATTATGTCCTCCTTTCTGTGTCCCTAGACCCTGAGGTAGCATCTGCTTCATGAACGTATTAATCACTGATATACTTCACTTTCCTCTCTTTTGCCTTCCACCTTATTCCCTGTACTAAATTCTCTGTTCGAAATATCTACTGTGCTTTCTGCTCCCCTGGCTGACAGAGCAACTTGCCCAAAATTGGTATAGGCTCACTGTTGCATCTATTTCCATTATAGATCAATGAAACAGAATAATGCTTTATAAGGTGAATTTGAAAATGGACTGGTACTGACCATTTTAGGCTAATAGCCTTTACCAGATGCTGATGTGGGTTCAAATACTCAAAGGCACTGACTTTCTTTTTGCTTGGTGTGCAAGGTGGGGAGTACTAAAGATGTAATCTAGGGCCTTCACACTAAGCTACATCCCCAAAACTTTGTTTTTGAGACAAGGTCTTGATAAGTCACTAATTTGCCCCAGGCTGAGCTCAAACTTTTGGCTCTACTGCCTCAGCCCCTCAGAGTGCCTGGATTATAGGTGTATGCCACCTCCCACTCCTCTTGCCCTTTTCAATGACTAAGAGGATTATTGTTCAGAAATGCTTTGTGGAGTATCTCAATTTACCTTGTCATCCTTAGAGGAAAAAATCTGATTTTGTTCATATTTGCCTCTCAATTCTTTTCTTTTTTTTTTTTTTGTCTTTATAAGACAGAGTCTCACTATGCAGTTTGGCTTGCCTTGAGCTTACTTTGTAGCCCAAGTTGGTCTTGAACTTGCAATGATCCTCCTGCCTCAGCCTCCCGAGTGCAGCCACCACACCTGGCTCTTCAATTCTTTTTCACTTGCTTTCATCTCCATTCAAGCCCAACTGCAGTTTTCAACCTTTCTCCTGGACTTTAATCTGATGATCACCTAATCTCACACCTCTTTTGTACTTGTGCCTCATGAATCATACCTTCACCTGTGTCAAATGTAGCAAGTTGCTTTCAACAGGCTCTCATGCTCAAAATTTGTATTATCAGAATGTTTGCATAGGCCTTGCAGTAAGTAGTCCTTATCTGCGTGCTCCTACACAGTCCCATTTTGTCCCAGTAATACTTTGGTCCTCTTGCTATTAACCTTGGTGATGCTATTACAATCTGTTCCATCATCCTTTCCCCTATTTTCAAGTTAGGTCTCATTCATTTTCTCTATCTGAATACAAATGTCTTTTTATTTTATATATTTGGATTTCATTCACCACTGGTTTCATAAACTGTCAGAAACTCTTGAAAGTGACTGTGTCTGCTTTGGCAATGAGTCAGATGAAAGTCATTTCTTTGCAGAAGTACTTAAAAATCTTCGTGTCTAATGGCATCAGTTCAGGCCCTGTAGAAATGAAGAAGCATATCCAACAATGAATCCTGTTTGACACCTGGTTTCCTTTCATAAGAGATACTATTTTTGGTGAGTTCTTAAATCTGGGGCCCTCAACTCAGACATCCACAGGCCGCCAGCAAAAGGTTGATCAACTAGATAAGTGAGTGAGCCCCGAATGCTATATGAATTGATTAAAGCGTGGGAGTGTTGTATCTGTTGATTTAAGAAAATCAACTTGAGGATCCTGGAAACAGTATTGCTAATTCATGGTTACTTTTTCAAACCAAAATAATCCACTATGATAAATGCAAATTGAGGTTGTCATACCTAACGGTCATATTTGTGCTTGTGTGCCACTGTCAGCTCTAAACTCATTAAATATGCTGTTTGATCCTCATAACAATCTTATCTATATAGAGGGATCATTACCATCTCCATCTTCAGATGAGGAAGCTGAGGCACAGAGAAGATACACAACCTTTCCCAGATCCTACAGTTTGTAAGTGGCAGACTGGATACTTCACTCCTGGTATTCTGAGTCATAGGTTTACATTCATAACTATTACTCCAAACTCCCTCTCAAACTTCCTCTTCTCCATCTGGACTTGGATTATTGACCAATCACAAGGAATTATGCAGGTTCTCCTTCTAAGATAATTTGTGCCCTAGTTATGTTCTTAGTAGCAGCAGTTTTCATCTTTCTCCACAAGGCTTTCAATCATAGGGACCTACTGTGGACCAGACAGTGTGCTAGGTACTTGTATAGTTTTATAATCTCATCTCACTTTCCCAACAGTACTAAAGATTGGATATTATCTCCTGCAACCAGTTAACCGAAGGAAGGCTGATTGAAGTTAAGTAACCTGCACAGGATCAAAGACTAGGAAATGCAAGAGGCAGAATTCAAATCTAAGCTCATGATTCTAGAGCCTGTGCTCTTAACCACTTGACGACATGGGTCTCTTCTACAATAGGTCCTTCCTATTAGATTTAGAAAAGCAGCTCCCACAAAGTCTCACATGTACATCTTTATCCACCCAGTACAGCTGCCATCAAAGTCCCTTGAGAAATCCTTCCTAAATCTAATCAAGGCTGAGAATGTAGCTCAGTGGTGCAGCGTCCACCTGGCAAGCATGAGGCTCTGAGTTTGATTCCTGGTACAAAAAATGTAATCTCAGCTTATAAAGTTGAAATTTTATTCCTGACTAATATTCCATGTGGCACTCAGGAGATCAGTAAGCTTCTTTGAGTCTGTACCCTTCTCTATAAAATGGGCGTAAACACAACTACTTCCTGAGATCACTGTAGGAATTAGAAGATAATAAACATGAATACATCAACTATCTCAGTATTTTTAGTTATCATAATAATCACAGGAATCTCCGCATCATCAAACTAGTAAATAACACAGGCTGTATTTTCCAATACTCGGAAACATAATTACCTACTTCCAGACCAAACAGATCAGTACTTTGGAAGGTCGGATCTCAGATCTCAATAGAATATTTTTTTAATTTGTTTTATTTTAAAGAGGGTAAGATTAAACATAACACAACAGAACAAAACAGATCATAAGGAAACAATTTTAAGAAACACGGATTTCAAAGCAAGTCCACTGGAGATCTTCACTGTCTATCATATTGTCTCTAGTTTTCTTCCAAATAGTTGTCCCCCTCTTCACATATATTGAATACATACTGAACGTTGTAGAGCTAATCTAATCATAACAGGATGATGAAGGCTTTTTTAAGTCTTTAAGACCTGACATTGGGGAAGTCAACAATGGCTGCCATAATGTCTCTCATTCTCTTTGAAATAGCTGTCTATATCTTTACGTATGCTGAAATTAAACATAAGAGACTAGACTAATATCATTCTGAGCAGTGAATAATAGTATTGCTAGATCTTATATCATAATGCTACAGAATTAGCACTGGGTATCTTAGTGTCTCTTCTTCGGAGTATCAGGATTTAAAAGCCACATTAGTCTTATCGCTCTGTTTAGTTTGATTTTATTTTGTTCTGGTCTGTCTACTCATACTAGATTTGAGGGCATAGACAGCTATCCCAAAAATAGCAGGATATACTACAGTAACTATTCTTAATTTCCTATTAACTTAAACTTAAATTTCCTATTAACTTAAATTAACTTAAAACAATTTCCTATTAACTTAAACTGATATACTACAGTAACTATCCTTAATTTCCTATTAACTTAAATGAGCACTATTTCTCACTTTCAGATGGTCTGGTATACTTCTGATGCCCATCCATAAAGCCAGGACTGCTTAAAGATGGACCACTTGTTGAACAAGAACTTCAAAAAACAGCTATACCTCAAAATCAAAGTTGTTTAAAGAATCTCAAACGACTACTCTTTCAAGAAAGTTCAGTAAATGGTAAAAACAAGGTTTTCTTTTGAGTTAGAAAACTTCCATATCAGAACTATTTATAGGAAAGGAAATAACAGCGGGTATAGTAGAAAGGCTATAATGAATAAATCTACTATAAAATATGCATCCCCAAATATTTAAATAAAAAAGAATTATTACTGCTCCGCATTAGTAACTTACTGAAAATATATAGTCAACTCATAATGAATTGTTGAGTCATATGTATATGCACTTAATTGCCAGAACAGTCATAAAGTTTAATGAGATTAACTCCCAGGAGGTAGATTTATTACTATTCACTTAATGTGAATGAAGCAAATAAAAATATTTAACAACAAACATGATGCATTCACCATTAGAACATGCCTATTAACTGTAAAATACTCAATTTGCTTAATTCTTTCCTTTATAATCAAATTAGGCCAAATGTAAGTCCATTTGCTTTACAGTGTCCACTCAACTATGCATTCTTTATGCCACTTCCTTTATTTGGAATGTGCTCTAAATCTTGTGATATGCCTGGCACACTAAAGCTCAAATCTAGCCAAGGAATAAATCAAAAGTTGGTACTTTCTGGCACCACCAGGTTTAATTGCTTAGACCTGGGTTAGTTGAAAGGCACAAGGCCAGTAAAACTTGCCAGAGAAAAATACAATAAATTTAGCACTTACTGCCTTGAGGTCTTCATTAATATGAGTATCATTCATTATAAAATCAGGATAGCCAACTTTTGCCAAAACAGCTCTTGCCTATAAAAAGGAAAAAGATGATGTCAGAATTTTGGCACTTAAATCATTAATAATCACAAGATGTAGGAATGCAATATTCATCTGAAAGCTCCATTTACTGAGTATCTACTATATACCATCCCTTATGAAGGACAAAATCAAATGGGAACAATTAGCCCTGTACTCAATATATTTAAAAAGCAGTGAACATAACAATTACATGCTTCTAAAATAAAAAAAAAAATTCCCGGTATTATTATCAAAGTTTCCTTTGATAAAAAAGAGACCATTTCTTTAAGGGGAAACCGCAAGTATTAGAGAATACTCAGGATTTCAAACACCAGAGCTAAAAAGAACAACATTCTAGAAAAGAAAACAATAGAGAGGAAAAAAATTATGAACCATACATCTGATAGCTTAATTTCAAAATACATAAGAAACTTAAACAGCTCAATAGTGAAAAAAATAGGCAACTAGATTTAAAAATAAGAAATAAACCTGAAAAGTTATTTCTCACATTATGGACTATAAGTACAATATGTATAAGAAAAAACTTTTAATCTTATTAATCATCAGGGAAATGCAAGTAAAGACCGCAGTGTGATATCACTTCACTCCTGTAAGAATGATGATTAATCCAAAAGAGCTTGCAGGTATTGGTGAGGATAGGGAGACAAGAGAATGCTTGTACACTGGTGGTGGGAATTTAAATTGATGCAGTCACTGTGGGAAATAGTATGAGTGGTATTCAAAACATTAAAGAAAAAAACTACTATGCGATCCAGCAATTCCATTTCTAGGTATACACACAAAGAAGATGAAACCAGTATGTAGAAGAGATTTCTATTTGCCCTCCCATATTCATTGCAGCACTGTTAATAGTCAACACATGAATCAAATTAACTGTCCATTAACTGATAAACGTATAAAGAAAATGTGATGATATATAAAATGGAATACTATTCAGCCATAAAAAGAAAGAAATTCTGTTATTTGAGATAACAGAAGTACAGATCATTATGTTAAGTGACATAGGCAGGTATAGAAAGACACACTGCATGATCTCACTAATAGGTGAGATTTTTTAAAATTTTATTTAAAGGACAAAAAATAAAACAAAACAGTGTAAGGGTCCAAGTAATACAGAATTTCAAAAAAACAGTAAGAAATCAGTAGTTAATAGATTACAGATTGTCATCTTAGAAATAGTTGTTGTTCAAGTTACAAGATTAAAGCATACAAAGTGGACATTCAAACAGTGAGACTGCATCAGTTGTGTTCAATGATCCAACAAAAACTCAGTAATATGGTCATCTATCTTAACACACCTAAACACACTTGCAGTTATATCCTTTAGAGCACTTTTTTCCCCCTCTCTCTCTTTTTTGTTTGTCTTTTTTTGTTTTTATTGGTACCAGGGATCGAACTCAGGACTGCCTGCTTACAAGGCAGGTGCTTATGCCACTGAGCTAAACCCCCAGCCCCTTCCCTCTCTTTTTTATAACAACATTTACACATTTTGGGTTTTATTACTCTCACAGTTCTTATTACTTTTTTTGGAAGAGAATAAAACAAAATATGACAAAACAAAGCAGTCAGTCAAAACAAAGGATGGACACAGTACATGATGTAAAAACAGAATACAAAGTGATCAACAATGGTTGCCATAATGCCTCTTGCTGCCTTAAAACAAATTGCCTATATCATTAGGTATAATAAAATCGAACAAAACAGTACAGAACAAGATCAATAAAACCTAAACATTGGAGACATTACAGGACTTCAAAAAAAGATAATAGTCAAACCAGAATGGGTGTCATAGTGAATCTTTTTGCCTTCAAAGTAGTTGCCTATACCCTCAATATGTGAGATTTTTAAAAGTCCAATTCATAGAAGCAGAAAGGAGAATGAAAGTTACCAAGGACTGAGGACTAGACTTGAGATATTAGTTGAGAGACACATTACCTGAGACAGACAGAAGAATAAGTTCAGAATATCTGCTATATAGTATGGTCACTGTAAGTAATAGTAATGTATTATATACTTGGAAGCTGCTAATAGAGATTGTAAGTGTTCTTACCTCAAAAACTAATAAATATGTGAGGTAATGCACATACTATTTAGCTTGAGCTAGTCATTCTACAATTTACATATACATCAAAACATCTTAGTGTATACCATAAAAATATAAAAATTTATATCTGACAATTGAATGACTAAATATGAAAAAGACAGAAACAGGAAACACATGGATCACAGGGATGTCAAGAATTCCTGAATTCAGTGCAAATGAATCTCAATTTTATTTTATAGCTCAGAGAGAACTAAATATTTTTTAGCAGGAGAGTAAAAAGAGGTGAGTCAGACTTCAGAGAGATTATCCATGCAGCACTGAGAACAACAGCCAGAATGCCAGAAAGACTGAAGGCAGGGGGTCCAGAATAATTTAAGATAAATAGTAACAGCATAACCATCATTTTGATAGACAAAGATACTAATTCACCTCTGTATTTTGCACTATCCAGGAAATGGATAAAGGGAGAAAAATCACCTCGGGCCTATGTACAGAGCCTTTGCCATAGAGGGACAAATCCAAGCCCCTAGGTTAAAAGCAGTCCCCTATTTTTGTAGATAAAGTTTTACTGGAACATAACTTTCACACATCTTTATCCCTAACTGCTTTTGTGCTACAATTGCAGAACTGAGTAGGAGGAACAGAAACTCTGCTGCTCACAAGGCCTCCGATATTTTCCCTAGGCCTATATGAAGTGTGTCTTAGAAAGCATGATAAAAATACAGTGAATACTGCTGCCAAGTGCCATCCAATAGAAAGGCAGGCTTGTAGAAACATTATCTGTGTGTCTCCCTCCACCTTATTCACTGCATCTGGCACTGTGTGACTTCTGGCTCTTCCCCAAAAGCAAAATGATCATGAAAAGGAAATAATCGATTCGGGACATTGAGGTAGCCATGACAGTGCACTAAAGATGCTCATGAAAAAGGACTTCCAGAAGTGGCAAGATTGATGATATTAGAGTGCTCAAAGCAAGGGGCAGTATTTTGGGAGGGATTAGTGGCAATGTACCTTTTATTGTAGTAATTTTTTTAAACTTAAACATTGAGTATATTTTTCAATCCCATCTTGTACAATTTATACTTCTAGTCTTCCTTGCAGTATTAGACCTGTTCTAACATGTCCCCTGAGTTCACACACAATCCTACCACTTATTCCTCACTTTCCGGCTTTTCCTATTCCTTGCTGGATTTTCTTGGGAATATTTCATTAATAAATCACTTGCACATAAATCCTCACCCCCAGATTTGCCTCCAGATAGCCCAATATGAGGCCCAGGCAATCCCAAACCTATTTTATTCCAGCAAAGCAACAATACAAAATCAGCAACCTTTGTATGCTGCTCTTCGGAACGTTTTGTTCCCTTTAGTCCTTTTCAATTTTCCTCACTCAGAAATAAATAGAATAAGATAGTACATTTTCTTTATCTTCCTTGAGATAATTCAAATATTAAATATCAGCAGAAACCTGCAACTTAAGACTCAGAGAGGATTTTACAAGTGCCGTAGGACACAATCATAATGGATTTTGCTGTTCCAGAGACTCAAATATAGCACAGATCAAATTCTGCCTTTAAATCCTGTGAGTTGTACACACTAAAAGCCTGATGTGACCCAAATAGCAGACGACTAGAGGTTAAAATTCCCCCCAACACAAAACAGTATGTCATATAGCTGTAGGTTACCTTGTTCTGAAATTGTTACTTTCTTCATTGTATTTTATTTCTCACTGTATTTTAGTAGCTCACCATAAGTCATATGTATAACTGTAGCAAATAAAGAACTTCAGATAGTGCTCTCTACTCCATCCCCCAAAACCAAAAATAAATAAGCTGAGTCATCCACAATTGTTTCCTGAACACTGGCCTTTCCAGAGCATGTTGGTGAATTATGTATTATTTTACAAATCTCAAGCTCTGAGACCTCCACTACACTATGGAATCTCATACAATATATTACCCTCTGCACTCTATATACAGATTATCAATCCTTTCTTAATATTTATTTAGCATCACTGTGAGTTGAACAGAGTCACAAGAGATATGCAAATAATCCTGATTTGCTGCCCAAGAATACATAGTTAAAATAAGGTAATAATGGTACTAGCAACATTGCCAACATCTGAGTAGAGTGCTTGTCTTCCCAATTCTATACTTACACCTCTACTCAGACTCAAACAGTCCTTCTGCCAGAGTCTGCTGTCAACGCCACACTATCCCAGCTACCCTATTCTACATTTTCCCTGGTAAGCTTCAAAAGCATACCTCTCAAATTATATGGACCAGAGCTCAAGATGAGACTGCCAGTGAGAACCAGTCCCAGGCCACTGGAAATGTACAAGAGAACAAAGCATCATTTACTCATTGCTGGTAGCCATAGGCAGGTACATGAGCATACACAGGGAACAGAAACAACGCTTTGCCAGCAACTTCAGGGCATTCTTCTGGGAAAACCTTGCCAGTGTGAAGGCAGCAAACTTCATGAGCAACCTCTGCCTTTCACTCCCCAGCCCTGCAGTGGTTGCATAGCCCTCCAAATCACTGTGTTAAGCATCCTCCTGCTTGATATCCATAAAAGGACATCTGTTTTTCTGCAAGAACCCTAATGGAAATAGTGATCACATCACTTTAACTTTTTCAGCACAAGAGAGGTGAAGCACCTATAGCTAATGGCTTGCTGAAGGACAAAGTATTCATGAGATAAACCTGAAATCAATCACTCTAATGGTCACATGAGCAAGATCAAGAGGCAAGTCTCACTGCAAACCTGAGAAGACTGGTATGAATAGTTAACCAACTGCATTTTACAACCTGCAGTGAATATTTTGTAGAATATTTGAGAGATCACGGTTAGTCATACATTTCTACTCCTTTTTCCTACAGACCTCTAGAGAGGCGCTATACTTCACAACAGGACATCGTTTCTCGGTAGAGGAAGCTCAAATACCT